GTGCAGGTGGGGAAACTGAGGTTAGAAGCAGCAGAGTGACCAGAATCCAGCAGTACCTATAATCGTCATGTGTCAAGGGCCTGCGGCATGCTAACCCTTCCACGCGGGTTGTCCTCGGGAACCTGGGGCTCAGGGAGATGACGCCCTTTATCCAGGCTGTTCAGGTGAGGGAGAGGATTCGAACCCAGGCCTACCCAAGCCCGGAGCCAGGCTCTGAGCATCACCCTCAGGGCCCCCTCCGTACCGTTTTGATTTCCATGGGCCAATGCTAGGCCTGAGGCCTGAGCCATGTTCCCCCAGGGCGGGAAAAACTCTCCTCAGAGATTTCGGCACTGCCCTCAGCTCCATGCCCCATGGCTGGAGGAAGAGAAGATAGAGCTTTGCAGAACTCGGTGCTGGACAGCAGGGCCAGGGGGAGGGGGGTGCAATGACTGGTCCAAGGCCACCCAGCAAGGCCCTACTGGAGGGTTCTCCCGGACCCGGACTGCCACCTTCTCCCTGCTCTGTGCTCTCATGGCGGAGGCTGGGACTGTGTGAGCAGAGCTAGCTCCCCAGCCACCAGTCCTCTCCCACCCTTACCGGGGCCAAGATCATGTGAAGGACAGGCCCGCCGGGAACAGAGGAGCCCTCTGCCAGGGCCCCCCAGCCTCACGCCATGTGGCACACTGGGATTGCCTGTGGTCTGTTCCGGGTTGACATGGACCCAATGCGGCAGGCATTACAACCAACTCAAACAGAAGAGGCCAAGGGATAAACAGGATATTCGAGCTCAAACACGCTCCTGACCCGCCAGCTGGCCTCAGTGCGACAGGGGTGAAAGGACCTTCCCCGGGGACCCAAACACCCAGTTCCTGTTGGCGAAAGGCCTGGCCGAGCCATCCCCCTTTCCCTGGGCCTCGGTCTCCTCCACGGGTAAGGGGGCTCTCAGGGCCTCCTTGGGGCTTGGGGTTACTGTCTCCTAGCCCTGCCCCGTCCAGTCCGCAGCATGGTCCTTCCTTTTCAAGCCCCACGTTCCTCACATGAAAAACAGGGCAGTAACGTGCTCCACGGGGTTGCCGAGGGCCTGAACCCAGATGAAGCAGAAGCGCCCGGGACAGAGCAGGGCCGAGTAAACGGCAGTTGTTCTTCTCAATGGTCCGCTCTTATGGGTCTCGGCTTCCGCAGGACAGTCAGGCCACACTGTAGAGTGCTATGCACCTGAGCTGTAGCATTGCAAGGGTCATGTCTAGGCTGAGCTGGGGCTCCGGAGCTTGGGCTGGGGTCACTGCTCATAGGACTCAAGGCACAGCGCACCTCTGGGTCATCCAGTGTGATGGTTTCCATTTCTAGTCAACCGCGCCCCACCCAGGGTAGCTGGGACACAGACTGCCCCTGGGGCTCCCAGAGCCCCTTGTCCAAACTAGCCGGGGAAGGACAGGAACTCCAGTGCCTCTATGGTACATATGCTTCCTAAATCATTTTGTTTAATATTTTTTGTTACAGCTTTGCCCAAAGTAAAAAATTCCAACAAAACTGAAAGAGATACAATAAAAGAGGAAGAGAAGCAGGGTCCAAGGTCACTGTGTGGCCTTGGACGAGTCCTTCTTTTCTGGGGCACAGGCTCTCCAGACTTCCCACCAAGGGGGTTAAATAAACTGATAGCTCTAATCTTGCTCTGGCTTCGGGCCCTGCAATGGTTCCAGTGTAGTGTGTGACCCTCGAGCAGCCATCAGAAGGGAGGAGGCCAACATGACACTATGAATGCCTGAGTCGGAACTGCTGTGGGAATGAGTGGCAGGAGACCCACTCACACGGGCCTAAGCAAAGAAAGAGGGAAGAAGAAATTTATTTGAACTGAAAAGTCCTGGGATATAAATGACTTCAGGCACAGTTGGATCTAGGTGCTCAAATGACATTTTCTCATTTCCTTAGTATTGGCTTCACTCTCCAGTGGGCTTTGCTAGATCATCGTATCTAAAATCGTGAAAGAGCAAAACAGACCCAAGTGATCTATGGAAACCCAAATCCCCCTTTGTAGGGTGTGAGCTTTTGCATCGGAAGCAGCAGTAACATGATCTCTGGGCTTCTGTAAGAAGTTCTCTTTGCAGGCAGGGAAACATATCCGTGTTCTTCATAGAAGTCTAGCTTGTGCCGTCTTGTTGTTGCACAGGCACATACATACACGTGTATATGTGTGAACACGTGTGTATATGTGCTTGTTCAGGAATCCCACACCACTGTCAGGAGTAGGATCTGGAGAGCCTCAGGAAGAAGGAGGCCTGGTTTCTCCCCACTTTGGTAGAGTTACACCAGACTTGGGGGGTCCCTAGATGCTTAGGCAGAAGGGGGCCCTGGAGGGGCGAAGTCCTGTCGTCATGTGAAGTGGTCCAGGGAAGCAGCGAAGGAGTTAATGACCGGGAGAATATGGCTCCTTAGGCAGCAGGACCCTTGAGCTGCTCAGGTGAGGACAGGGCCCACTACTCACTGACCTGCCTCTGTGCCACCCCAGGCCCACCCCAGGGGACAGAAGCTTCTTGTCAGCATCACCTTAGAGCTCAGCTGTGAGTGCCAGCGGGAGGGGCAGTAGCCATGGTGGCTTCTGGAGGCTACAGCGGGGCAAGGCTGGGGGTTGGGGGGGGTGGGGGGGTGAAAAGGAAAGAGGCGAGAAGCCTGAGCCCTGAGCGAACCACATCCCTGCAAGGTGGCCAGGAGCAGACAGAAAGGAAACCTGAGGCGGGGAATCATAAACATGTAGATCACCATTTAAGCACTAGGCCAAGGAGATCTAGACTCATGGCTCCAGCCATGTGAAGCCACACAGGACCCCAGCGCAGTCACGTAGTCCAATTTCTTAGCACCTCTGGTGATGGGGACCTCACCACCTGCTCAGGTGGTGGCTGCTCTACAGGGTCCTCCAGGGAGAGGCTTAGAGCTTTCCAAGGACCTGTCAGGATCCCAGGGACCCATGCAACAGGAAGGGCCCAGAGCACAGGGCGGTAACTACTTGCCGGGGACAGGGAACCAGTTAACACAAAAAATCCAATTGTGGTGATTTGTTGTGAAAAAAAGCAGCAAGTTGCTGAGGGGAGGAAGCATCCACTGTGTCAGCTAGACCCTCGGGGAGGTTCTGAGGAGGCAGAGTCTAGGGCTGGGGACAGCTGGGGAGGAGAGCTCTGGGTCAAGAGCACAGCCTATGCAAGGGTCCAAGGCAGGAAAGAGTGGGGGCATCTTTCTGGAACAGAAGGAAGGCCAGTAGGGGCTGGGAGAGGCAGAAGGTGAGTTTTGAAAAGCAGAGAGCAGATGACACAGGCTCCGTGGGCCACGGTGGGGACCCTGGGGGTGGGCTGAGCGATGCCTCTCTGGCTGCTGTGTTGACAGAGGAGCAAATGGGAGCAAGTGGGCAGAGGGAGACCGGAGATAAGGCTGTTGGGATGTGTCTTCTGACACTGGCTGTGCAGCCTCAGGCAAGGCTCTTAACTTTTCTGGGCCTCACTCTTGCCCACATATGTGGCGGTAATGGGGGAGGGGGCAAATTTTGTTTACTCTCAGGAAGAACTCTCGACCAACTAGATGGAACCACAGGCAGGCTTCAGGGGCTAGGAAGCCCTCCGTCATCAAAAACATTCACACCGAGGCTGGCTCCAGTGAGCATGTTGCTGTGAGGTCACTCAGACACCGGAGGAGGGTTAGGCAGAATGACCTCCCTCGTCACTGACCCTGACTCTCCGTCACAGTCACAGCCCCACCTCTGAACCTGTCCTACTGGGTGACCTCGGACTGGTTGCTTCCCCTCTCTATACCTCAGTTCCCAAGTGAGGACAGAATTAGCCACATAAATGCTATGGGTCCTCTCACCAGAATGTTCTCCTGTTCATCCACTCTCAGTCTTTACCTCAACCCCCATTCACGATGGCCGCTGTCTTGGCTGGCCACTGGAGGCTCCATGAATTTTGTCTTAGCCTTGGCGAAAGGGTCTCTACATGTCCATCCACTTCAGTTCAAGCATCCTGGGTGACCTTTCGGTTGGAAATCTCTCTGCTCATTCTGGACTGGGTTTATTTACCTTGGAATCTCTCTGGATGGCCCTGGAACCGGCGCTAGCTTCTGTGGGCAGCCTCCCATCCTGTCACCACCATATAAAGGCCACCAACACTCAGCAGCAGAATCCCAGGGGGACCATACAGAGGAGCAAGGATTTACGACCATCCTCCTCCAAACCTGTGAGTGGTGGGCTTTCCCCCGATGGCACCCCACATGGTGATCTTCAGAATGTTTTGGGGGCAAGAGGCAGAAGTATGGGGCCACTTGGATTAGCTAATATTTTGAATATAGCATATTAAGAGATAATTTTATTAGAAGAATCAAACCAATGAGCAATGCAGGGTCATGACATGGTGTCCCTTTATTTGTTCATACTTTTATTCAGCAAATATATATTTCTCATTCCAAACTAAGTCCAGGTTTTTTGCTGGGGGCTGGAGAGTGAATAGTAAAGTGGGTTGTGATCTCTCCCCTCAGGAGGTCACAGCCTTGTGGGAAAGGCAAACAAGTCATCACTAAATGGCACCAGAACTCTGATCAGAGAACAAAAACAGCAAGATGATGTGGTGGGACCCCTAATCTCGACTCTGGGAAGGGAAGGGGCCTAGAGTGGGCTTCGCAGAGGGCATGGTGTCTTACTGAAGCTGGAGAGTCAGTAGGAAATAACTTAGGTAAAATTGCAAAGATGAGGAAAGATGTTCCAGGCAGAGGAGCCAGCATGTACAAAGGACTTTTGTGTAAAGAGCACAGACTTGGAGCTAAGTGCGACTTTTCAAATATCAGCTCCTCTACTCACTGGCTGTGCATAACTGGACAAGTTGCTCTAGGTTTCTGAACTGACTGCCCATCTGTAAAACAGAAGCGAACCACATCTATCTTATAGGAATGTGAAGTTAAAAGTAATAGGTGCTTATCAAGGGTGCTTATCTGCATAATTCTCACTCCTGTCCCTCCTATGACTGTTCAGGTGTCAAGACAAGATGCTTCAGCTTTGGAAACTTGTTCTCGTATGCGGCCTGCTCACTGGGACCTCAGCATCCCTTCTTGGAAATCTTGGCGACGATCTGAGTAATACCGTGAACAAGCTGAAACCTGCTGTTGAGAAAGGACTCGAGACCTTTGACAATACACTTGACTGTGAGTCATGACACAAGTGATGATCAGTGGCACTTAGGAGCGGGCCTCCTAAATGCTATCCCTGCATTACCAGAGGCTGCCACCAGGGGATGCTATTTACAGGTGGTTTACCGAGAACCAGTTCTTGGTCCATTCCCTTATTTTTCTGGGAACAGGCAAATCTCAAATGAATATCCTCTTATATATTATATCATGGCAAGTTTTTCCTAATACATCCGTAGGATAAATTCCTAAAGTGGAGTTTCAAAAGTTCTGAAGGTATGCACAATTTAAATTGTAGGAGGTGTTGACAAATAATCCTCTACATTAATATTCTCTCCAAAAGTTTTGGGAGAGTGCCTTTTTCTCTACTCCCTTGACAGTACCAGTATGGACAACTTAACAGTTTTGCTAATATCATAGATAAAAGATTATAGCTCATTTCACTTTGCATTTCTCCAATTATGAAAGAATTCACTCATTTTTAATATTTTATTAGCTATTTACATATTTTAGCATAAATATTTTGTTCATATTTACAGCATATTCTTCTGCTAGGCTGTTCAGTTTTCTTACTGACATGTATTAATTCATTGGAAATTAAGGAAATTAGCCATAACTCAGCCTAGGTAGCTTTAAACCACCTAGCTTTACATTTAATCATGTCTCTTTTTTATTCTTATTTCTTAAAAGAATTTGGCTTTCTTTTTATTTTCAACATTAGCACACTGATAAACATTATAGGAGGAAGTAAATGCTATAAATGTCTACCTTTCAAACGTTGTCAGGGCTTAGGTCTTGTTAGGGCTTAGAGCTTCAAAGATATAGAAGGGACCATTCTCCAATTTCACTGTTGGGAAAACTGAGTTCAGAAACAGAAGTGTCTGGATCAAGGTCACCTAATGAGTTACAGGACCAAAAAGAGTTTTATTGAAATGAACTCCATTTGTTATACCATTATAACTAAGTAGATACCATCCATTGCAGAGCCAAGTTGGAGAACCATAGTTAACATTTCTTCTCTTATACAGCCTTTGTTTTTCCTTGAGTTAATATTTGCCTTGTTTTTCACTTGAATTATTTGCTACACACATATCCTTAATTCTTTGCATATGCACTATTCTATATCTGCCATGTCTATCTAATCCCTCTTTTCTCTGGAGCCCTTCCATTAAGACATTTTGTTTTCGTACTCCTGTATGAATTATTGCTCTCCGGGCTTGCTGCAAAGCTGTCATTCTGGGACTCCCATTTGCCACTTTTTATGAGGTGGACCATACTTTTTCCTGGATTCTAGATTCTCTATTTCTTATTCTCTTTTTGTTTGACCTAGTTTTTCAAACTTGCATGAACATCTCAGAGCAACAGACATTCTCCCTTGTCTCAAGTCACAAATAGAAGCTGGTGTACAAACAATATGAATCGCTTGGTTAATTGATTACTTTGTTTATTAGTGACGAGTATACAATAGTATGAAGGCAGTATGGAAGGAACAAAGGCTCCAGAGCTGCATGAATTTAGGCACATTTCTTAAACTTTTGATCCTTTATTTTCTCATCTGAAAATGCAGATAATAACCATATCTGCCTCACCTGTGTTATTATGAAGAGTAAATGAAATAACATAGGCAAATAGTCTTACTTAGTGTCTGGTACATAGTCACTGCTCCATAAGTGATGCACGACACTAAATGGCAATTGTTTTTTTAGCTGTCCTTCAGAAACTGACCGCTGACTTCAAGAAGTTTCAGGAATCCAAGGCTTGGCACCTGACTCAGGAGAAGGTGCAGGAAGTGAAGAACTTGGTGAAAGATGCTTTTTCTAAGATCACACCAGCTAAGGATGAGACTGTGGGGTGAGTTGATGCTTCAAGGTGGATATCTTTGCCCCAAGAAAAAGGAACACACATCTTTGGGGAGGTGAGTTTAAGGTCAAAGACAGAAAGGTTGATAAACCTTGTTGTCCCCCCAGAGTCAAGGTGGTCTGAGGCCACGTTCATCAGAGCTTGAGCAAATTAGAGGCAGGGCTGCAGGGCCAGTCTGGGCATCTCATGGGTTCGGGCTTCCGTGTTATGTAATTTCAGGATCAGGGTGAAGATCCTCTCAATCCTTACCTCCACTCTTTGGTGGTGCCTGAGGTCCCCTTTCCAAGGAGTAAGATGTTCTTCAAATATAGCTGAGGATGAAAGTACCAATCCCCTTCAGGAGAGAGAAGACAAGGTCATACCACATTGCTGGCTTCATGCGTGGAGTTTGGGAGTCAAACAGTTCTGGGTTTGAATTCTGATTCTGGCACTTATTCCTCCCTGAATCTCTGTGGGCAATTACATCCATCTGAGCATCCGTAAGCCATGCCATAACGTGGAGAGGGCCAAACCTCTGATTAGGGCTATTGCGAAGGCCAAAGTGGTGAGGCCCAAATGCTCAGCCTGATGCTGGTGTAGAGAAGTGTTCAGACCATGGCTGGCCTGAGGAATGCCAAAGAGAAATTGTGGCTTTCACACAGGTTGAACTTCATTAACTCCCGCAACCTGAAAATCAAAGTGGAACTGACTCCTGATGGCGAAGGCATTAACATAACGGTCCCCATCGTCGCTAATGTCACCCTGGCCCTGTGAGTATGCATTAGAATCTGGAATTTGGGAGAGGCTGTGCAGCAAGGCCAATGATCTCCACACTGGAATGGGGCTCTTTCCCATGCTACCGTGTGACCTTGGGTCTCAGTCTCCTGAACTGTACATGAAGGGGCCTTTCCCTGCTCTAAAATCTGAAGCTTTGAAATGTTCTAATGAACTTTGGCCATAACCAAGTCTCTTTGAAAAGAATCCTCCATTAAATATTTCTGAAATCATCGCATTTCTCTAATGGTAAAATCTGAAAAACTGAGAAGACATGAGCACTTATAACTCTTTGGCAAAATTTCTGCCAGCAGTATTTCGTCTCTTGAGATTCTCTTTAAGTAACAGTGACCATTGCAGCTCAGCATCTATAGTAGTGTACAGTATATAATGAAGAGCATGGGTGAAGAAGATAATCTTAAAGCATTTTGATTACTTTAAAAGAGAGAGATAGGAAAATGAGCACTAGTGGAAGGAGAGAAATTGAGGACCCAGGGATTCCATCCTTCATTAGTTATGAGATCTCAGGATGGTTACTTAACCTCTCTATACCAATGTTTCCCCATTTGGAAAATAAAGATAATAATAGTACTTTTACCTCATGGTATTGCTGTAATGATGACATGGATTAATCCAGAAAAATATTTTTTTCTTTTACAGATTTATTTATTTTAGAGAGACAGAGAGAGGGGATGGGAGGATCAGAAGGAGAGGGAGAGAGAAATTCAAGCAGACTCCCCGCTGAGGGGGGAACCCCACATGGGGCTCGATCTCACAACCCTGAGATCATGACCTGAGCTGAAATCGAGAGTCAGACACTTAGCCCACTGAGGCACCCAGGTGTCCTGAAAAAATGCTTTTTAGAAATGCCTACCATAGGGACGCCTGGGTGGCTCAGTTGGTTGGACGACTGCTTTCAGCTCAGGTCATGATCTCGGAGTCCCGGGATCGAGTCCCGCATCGGGCTCCCAGCTCCACAGGGAGTCTACTTCTCCCTCTGACCTTCTCCTTGCTCATGCTCTCTCTCACTGCCTCTCTTTCAAATAAATAAATAAAATCTTTAAAAAAGAAAGAAATGCCTACCATATCATTTGCCCTTAGTAAATGTTAACTGTTATTATTTTCATTATTAGGGCGGTGTTAAATAAAACTGTTGTACGGACCAAATCCATGTGGAAGGGCAAAGAAGCCCTTAATGTCAATGTCCATTAAGAATCCAGACGATGCTGACATTACCCACAGACAAGCTGGAGGGTTAAATATCCACACTGGTGGAGGAACACTAGGGGGTCTTGGAGACCTCTGTTCACTGGGAATCTTATCTCCTGCAGGCCTGTCATTGGCAAGGTCAACCCGAAGGCCTCACTGGACTTCCTGACACCTGTCAGAGTTGCAATCGATCCCCAGACCGGCACCCCCCGAGTGATCATAGGGAAATGCAGCAGTGACCCCAACCGCATCGTGCTGGACAGGTGAGGCCCGTCCATCTCAGCGGAGCGGGGCACTTGGAGTTGTTGAGGACCCCTAGCTTCCACCCTATCCCTGTACCCATAAGGTGGCACAAGGTGGCAAAAGAACATAGGCTCTGGAGTCAGATCTTGGTTCAGGTATCAGCTACAGACTTACAACTTTGTGAACAGCTTAGCCCCTCTGAGCCTCAGTTTCTCCACCTGTAACCTGAAGGTGACAATAATGTCTCCTCCCCGGCTGCTGACCGGACCACCTGGGAAACTAGAGTGTTGAGCCCAGAGCCTGGTGCACGCCCAGCCCTCGGGGATAGTGACATCCATGCTGACCGTGTCTTCTTGTTCTCACCATTCCGTTGGCAGCTCTGTCAAACCCATTTCCTGCTTTCGGAGGCTCTGTTGTTCCCCAGAGCACATGGCGGGTTGTTACTGCTTCTTAAAAACTTGACCCCTTTATCATTATGTTATATCCCTCAACAACCATAACAATAATAGTAAATTGTATTTTCCTTCCTGCCTCCATGTGGGAGGGGAAGGAGAAGTAAATGCTTACCAGGGGCTCTAATTTCAGATTTTCCCCAGAGTCCTCCATTCATTTGGAAAATTCCCGAAATCAGAGATCTTACAAACCGAATCCTCTCCATTGAAATCATGGATCCCTGTTAACCCATATTTACTTCTTTTTTTTTTTTTAAGATTTTCTTTATTTATTTGACAGAGAGAGAGATCACAAGTAGGTAGAGCAACAGGCGGCGGCCGCGGGGTGGAGAGGGCAGGGAAGCAGGCTCCCCGCTGAGCAGAAAGCCCAGTGCGGCTCGATGGGGACCCTGAGATCATGACCTGAGCCGAAGGCAGAGGCTTAACCCACTGAGCCACCCAGGCACCCCTCCATATCTACTTATTAAACTGTGTGCTTGCAAGGGCAGGTTTGGTGGAGGAAGAGGGTGGTGGGGAGGCAGGGTGACTCCGGAGGCAGCTGTTGGAGAATGGTCTAGAATTCAAAACCAGGGGCAGGTTGGTTTTGGGAGAAACAAGGCTGGGTTTTCGGCTCTCAGCCCTGAGGGCCATGAGCAGAGATCACTCCACCCTACCGGCTCAAGGAATCTGATCAAGGGATCTCAACCCCCTGTACCAAAGAAAGGCTCTCCTGTCTGATGTTATTGGGGAAGGCTGGGATGTAAATAGAAGCTCTGAGCCCTGCTGGATACTGCCTTGTCTGCAGCCCCAGGGACTTCATCATGCCGCTCTGGGTCTCAGTGTCCGCATCTGTGAAATGGTCTTCCACTCTGTGGCCCAAGATCGCTCAGCCCAAGCACTCCCACAGCCATCCAGGCTCAACTCTCCTACCACTGCCCTCTCATCCTTGCTCACTCTGCTGTAGACACACTGGCCTTTGCTCACCTCAGACAAGTTCTCCCCACCTCCAGACCTGTACACATGCTCTTCTGGCCTCCTAGAACACCTTTCCCCTCACTTCCACGTACTTCTCAAACTTCAGGTTCTAAAAAGGGTTCTTCCTCTTCTCCCTCAAAATCATCTACTCTTGGCCTCCACAGTAATTGTCACAAGCTGTCATTCTACTTTTCCAAAGATTTTATTTATTTATTTGAGAGAGAGAGAGAGAGAGAGAATGAGTGGGGGTGGAAGAAGCAGAGGGAGAGGGAGAAGCAGACTCCCCACTGAGCCGGGAGCCCAGTGTGGGACTCCATCCCAGGACCCCAGGATAATGACTCGAGTCAAAGGCAGACACTTACCCAACGGAGCCACCCAGACCTCCCATCATTTTATATTTACTTCTATGTTTACTTTAGTCCTTCTTTCAGCCAAAAATGTTTGAGCATTTGCTATGTTCCAGATAGGCTCTGAGCTCTGGAGAATTTATTGGTGACAACAGACAAGGACCCAGTTTTCCCGGAGTTTATTGTCCTGAGGGAAAAGCAGACAGACGAGTGTCCAGTCCATCAGTAAAGAGCCCTCAAGGAAAATGTCAGATCACGATGAGCTCTAAGCAGAGCAGTACATGTAACGGGACTGTCTGACACAAAGCCCTCCCTTAGGCAAGCAGTCAGGGAGGGCTGCCCTAAGGAGGTGTCAGTCAAGCTGAATGCTGAAGGTGGGCAGGAACCAGCCTTAGCAAGACCTGTTTGGTATCTAGGTACAAGCTGAGGAGTTATTTGTGCTTTGCTCATCCCCACGTCCTCAGCGTAGTCAACGTCTGGCATGCAGGTGGTGATCTGTACATGTGTTGAAATCAAAGAGTGGGATCTTAAGGCTGTGATGAGACTCTCACAGGTTGAGGTGAGCCTCTGGTCAGAAGTGGGGAGCCCCTGAATAGAGGCTCAGGCTGTGGTTAGAAAGGCATTGCAGCATTCCTGGGTTTACCTGGTTTCCAGGCGCTCAGCCATCTCCCCCTCCCCCACACCCACCCCCACTGTGTGGCCACTCTGCCCACGGTTTTATCAGTCGCTACTCTTTTCCAGCCAAAATGCTATGATTGGGAAGACCATGAACACCGTGAACAGCTACTTGACAAAGACCATGTCCCTGCTGGTAGAGAAGGATGTGAGTCCTCCACTCCCTGGGGCCCAGAGCCATGCCTGGGGGCCGGGGGGGGGGCGGTGGCAGGTGTGCCATTCACAGGAGCTACTGTACTCTCTGGTTGCCTTTTCTTCTGGGGACAAACTCCTCATTGGGCTGTCAGTTGGAACCTGTGCCCCTCTACTCAGCCTGGGGAGAGGGAAAGACAACGAGCCGAGGTCCGACATTAGCTGAAATCACTGGATCCCAAGTTTCGGCCATTGGCCAAGTAGCCATTAGGCTACTCCTAATATGCCTTTTTAGCTAGTGTGGTCCTCCTTTAGACAACACAATTTTACTCAAGCTTATTTAAATATGTATTTTAAAAAGAAAACTATCTCTACCATAATTAGAAATGCATATCATTCAGATAATTAATTTAAAACATAACAGACCTATAAAACTGGTATTTTCATCTATGCATCAAACAAAACCATTTTTACTGCGTGCCCAAAGTTCCAGAGAGTCTGAATCAGTCCTTCTGGAAGGAGGCTGGGATTCTGGGTTTAGGAAAGAAAAACCCTCCAGGTGGCTCCATCACTCATTGGACTGGAACCTCAGGACTCAAAATACGGTCCTCTGCCCAGCAGCCGGGGGGGCCTCATGTGGAAGCTGGTTAGAAACGCAGGCTCTCAGCAACCCCCCCCCACTGACCCCGCAGCCCCCCAGCCCTGCTCAAATCAGAATGGGCACTTAATGACATCTTCAGGGAATTGTACAGACACAGAGTGAAAAACTCTCTGCTCTATGGTTCCCAGGACCCAATCTGATTTCTTAAAATTCCAGGGTTCCTAAGTTCAAGGTTTCTAAGAGTATAGGGTTCTGGGATGTTAACACTCTAGATTCTCAGGGTTCTAGGATTCCAATGTTCTAAGGATTTAGAATTCTAGCATCCTATGGTTCTCCCGTTTGGGACTTTTAGGTTTCTATTGTTCTAGAATCCTAAGGGTCAAAGTTTCTGAGATCTTGGTGGGTGGCTGACAGTTTGGCCCCAGCTGATAATGATCTGTTCTCCTGCTCCTACCCATCCCTCCCTCTTTCTCTTTCTCTCTCTCTCCCCCCCTCCCTCCCCCTCAGGTGTGCCCACTGATCCATGCCTTACTTTCCACCCTGGATGCGCCTCTTGTTCAGGACCCCATTGGTAAGTTACAGCCTGGGGACCGGGGGTGCTTTCTCTCTGCAGCCTTCCAAGGGCAGGTGTGTACCTGGGCCCACCCCAGAGCAGGTGTGGTCAGGGGCTCCTGGAGAAGCAGGAGGACCCAGAGTCTGAGAGAGTTGGGAGAGTGTGGCAGGATTGAGGGGGTTCTGTAGGCCTCTGTGAACTCTCTACCATCATCCCCTCTTTAAATCCACAGAACCTTCCTGGCAGAATGATGTGAGAAAGAAAGATGGGCCAGATCTGGGTTCAAATCCTGACTCTGCTATTTAGCAACTGTGGGGACTTATTCAAGTGGCTCTGCCTCTCTGAGCCTCAGTTTCCTCCTGGGTGAACCCAAGATTATAAACACTGGAGGGTGATGAGTGGGTGAAAAGAAAAAGCATAGAGTCTAATATCCAGTAGGCAATACTAGTAAACACCTGCCCTTCCCTTTCGTTCTTTATGAAAAGCTGTGGGTTCTCCTCCAGCCATGCGGGAGCTTTCTTTGGCCTTTGAGTTTCTAGACAAGGCTGGGGTTGCTGGGAACGCTGAAGCAATAGAAATGAGGTAAGTGAAGGTGTCAGGGTCCCGGAGGTGGCCCTTCTACGGAAACAGCCACAAATCAGTTCCTTGGGCAATCACTCTGTGCTTTGCATACCCCATCCCACTGGATCCAGCAAACCTGTGGGGTGGTTACTGTCATTATACCCATTTTACAGGTGAACAAACTGAGGATCAGAGTGGTGGACTGACGTGCCTGAGGTCCCATGGCTGTCAGACTGACCCACTGGAGAGCAGCAGCCATCGGAGTCTGGTTTCTATTGGAGACTGAGGTCTGCTATTTATTTTATTCCTTCAGATAAATTTCAAAAGGAAAACCACCTGCAAAACGATGTCTGAAGAGGGAGATGGGGAGGACTGCTGGTGATGCCCACCTGAAGGTAAGGGGTGGCTCTGTGCCTCATACAGAGGATGAGGCTCCTCTTCTTTTTTTAACAGTAGGCTGAACCCTAATCTTAGTTATAGACTGAGCTGTGACCCTGGCCCCAGCCTGAGCCCTGATCCTGGTCATACCCTGCATCCTGAGCCTTATTCACATATCCAGACTGAGCCTAGATCCTGCTCACAGACTGAGATTTGACCTCAGTGATTTACTGAGCAATGACCTCAAGTCATAGACTGAGCCCTGACCTTGATCTCAGACTGATCCATGATCCTAATCCTACACTAAGCCTTGAACCCTAGCTCCAGTCTTGGCCTATGATCAGTCTTTTCACATCTGCATTATTCCTAAGGTGAGAGGAGAGGACAATAAGGGGAGGAGAGGTAGGGCTAGGTGCCAGAGACAAACCCCAACCACAGATGCCAGCCCCCTCTTCAAGGCCTTAGACTCTGCAGGGGATTGTAGGAAGGAGTTTGGGTGGCAGTGTCTGATCGCTGTGGTCTTGTTCCAGATCGGTGCCCAGTGGCTAGATGGTGTCCCTTGTAGCATCTCCATCTGGGAAGGTGCTGCCACCCCTAGCCTGAGCACAGCCAGAAGGGACCCTCCCAGAGACGATTCCTTGCAGTCGGGACAGCAGCCTCTGTGCTCACCACCCTCCACCCCCTGTAATAAAAGACCATTTCTGCACCCTCCTGTGTGGCCCATTTTATCCCTCCTTTGGGATTAAGGGGGAGAGGGAAACTAGGGTGGTAGAGACCTGGGTGGGAGCTGGAAGGAACCTCTGGGACTATTCAGCTTGTTTTATAAATGGGGACACTGATGCACAGAGAGGGGAGGGTGAGACTGACCCAGGGTCACATAGCCAGTTGGTGGCAGTGGGACTTGTTTCATCCATTCACAAGCTCAGCAAGCATTTAGTGAGAGCCTACCCTGGGCCAGGCAGGCAGTGAGAATGGGACAGTCACATTTGGGGTAAGCCCACCCAGGGCCTTTCTCCCTTCCCCTCCAGAGACTTCTAAGAGGCCTTATGGAGGATGGGGCACACTGGGTCTGGGGGCTCAGGAGTGCAGGGCAGAGTGACACAGAATCAGGGCCCTGAGCCATATCTCAGCCTGCCCCTCCATGCCCTCCGAAGGGCTAGATTTCCCCTGCAAGGGAGATCAATTCAAGCAGCACCTGAGAACACCCATGGTCTCTCAACGCCGTGGCTCTCACCTGCCTCCTACCACCAGCCCTGAGAGCCTGTGCACCTACCAGCCAGGCTGCACAGGTCCCTGCTTGCTTGGCAAAGCCAAGCACCTAGAGGGTGCTCAGCCATCCCATGGAGACCAGCTCCTCTCTCTGGCCAAGACCCCTCCACCCACACCCTAGAACTCAGCTCACCCCAGGCTGTGCCTGGCTGTGGTCAAGACAGCATCACTCTGGGATGCTAATACCACCACCATCATGGACAGCTGCCTTTGCTGGCACATGCGACCTCACCAATTCCTAAGAATGCCAGGAGACACTATTCTTGTCCCCATTTAACAGATGAGGAAACTAAGGCTCACAAAGGTAAAGTGACTCATCAAGGTCACACAGTGAGCAAGTGGCAGAGTCAGGATTTGAACACATGACTATGAGAGCCATTGCTCAGAGAGCTTACATGCCGCTGCCCAGGCACTTTGGCTGCCTCCCCAGCCCCCAACAGGCACTGCGGTCTTCTGCCCAGGACAGATGAGAACCTCCTGAGGCTATTCTGCCTACACGCAGGCCCCAGTCTCCCTTTGCCCTGCAGGGAGGAGCCTGCCACCCCTTCCACAAGGGCCTTCCCTCTGAAGAAGGCTGCCTCACAGGGTCAAGTGACCTCAGAGGACACTTGAGCCCTTGGGGTGGCTGGAGGGGCCGCAGACCAGCTCTCCTGAGCAATCCTGTGAAGACCTCAGTTCAGGTTGTGCTGAGGGGCTGCTGGGCACAGGGCAAGGGCCGGGGGTTCAGACCCATCTGAGCTCCACAGGGCCCCTGCCACTTTCTAGCCCTGAAATCTTGGGCAAGTTAATTAGCCTCTGGGAATCTCGGTTTTCTTACCTGTCAAACGGAATCAGCAGGAAAAAACCTCCCTTGCCGAGCTGTTGTGAGGGTGGGAAGTGTGTAACTGGGGCCTGACAGCTAGCGAGTGCAAGATGAGTGTCCCCTCTACATGCTGAAATTGCCGTTATAACCGCCCTGTGTTTGTTGATTGACTGATGAAAGCCTGATGTGGTTGAAAGAACCATGGTCCTGGGAGATCTTGGGTTTTCACCCATCTTTATGGCCAGACTACCAGCATCCCCAACAGTGACCATTTTTCTCTCCCTCCCCAGGTTTTAGCGGGGCATATGGCCCCCAGCCAGGGACTACATGTCCCAGCTTCCCTTGCAGTAGCCATGTGACTAAGATCTGGCCAATGGCATATCAGCAGAAGTGATGCAGCAAATTAAAGAAAGGGGCACTTCACTGGCTCAGTCCATAGAGCCTGTGACTCATGATGTCAGGGTTGTGAGTTCACGCCCGACCCTGGGCATTGTGCTTCCTTAAAAACAGGGAGAATTCCCTCCTGTCCCCTCCTGACCTTCTCTTAGAAATGAGAAAAAGTGAACAACTGCCTGAGATCTAGAGGGGGAAGCCCTGCTTTGAAGACAGCAGAGCTGCTCCAACAGCCCCTGACCCCCCATCTCTGGGCCCTGTGGCAGTAAAGCAATGAGCTAGCTTATTTAAACCATTGTGTTTTGGGGTCTCTTTGTCAAGGCTACTTTATTTCTATTCTACCTCATTCTGCCAGTAACATGCTGTGTGACATTAGGCTGCTAACTTCTCTTCTCTGAGCCTATTTCCCTATTTGCACAGTGGCCCTTTCTGCTCCAAAAGGACAAGAGTTAATGCTCCCTCCAGACTGGAAGGGGAAAGAAAATAAACATTTATGGAGCCCTGACTCCATAGCAGGCCCTGTATTAGACGCCTGCTTCTCAACCTAAGGTGACTTTGCCCCCACAGGACACTGGCAATGTCTGGAGGTATTTTAATTGTCACAGACTGGGCGAGAGATGTTACTGGCATCTCATGGGTAGAGGCCAGGGATGTCATTAGTCAATACACAGGACAGCCTCTCACAATAAAAAAGCATCCAGGCCAAAATGTCAATAGTGTTGAGAAACCTTGCATTAAAACTTTATGTACATTCTCTCATTGAATTCTGTTTTTTTCTGGGTGATGCAGTGTATGGGGGAAGATAGAGCAACTGAGGCTCAGAAGTGTGAAGTGACTTGCCCAGGGCCACACAGCTAGTCCGAGGCAAAGCTGGATTTAATCCAAAGTCATCCTCCTCTGGGGCTGGGGCTTCCTTTCCAGCCAGGGAAGAACGGTGAGTTTTCCCTTCTCACTATTTTGTGACAAACCCACCTCTCACAAAAAAATACACAAAGGAGGTCTCAAAATTCAGGGCTTCTTTGGGCAGTAACCAGCTTGAGCCTGTGCTAAGCCTTTGTCCATGCTGTTAAGTCTACTGAGGACACAGTTCCTTCTTCTCTAGCTAAATCCTGCTCAGCCTTAAAATTTTGCTCAGCAGTCAACACCCAGCTAAGTAAAGGCTGCTCCTCGTTTCCCAAAAAGACCCTGTGCTTCCCAACATGTAGGCCTACCCAAGCGACCTTGCCATTATTGTCCAATACGGAGAGAACATTTAGAAAGTGTCAACTCTGGCTAGTCTGGTTTTCACCTTTCTTACTCATCAATCTGCCCCTTGAGCCTGCAAGCTCCTTGAGGGCAAGTGCCTCCCTCTCCTTAGCAGCTCCAGGGCCCAGAGAAGGACCAGATACAGTACAAGCACTAACAAATGTTGAATGAATGAATGAGTGAATGAATGAATGAACCCCTTCTTTCTCTACACAATAACCAGACACCATCTCTGGGACACCTGAGTAGGTAGGTGTATGGGAAAATTCTAGCAAGCCAGGATTGGGGGTATGGGAGACTTGTCATTGTTTTCTGTTGACCAAGGCCAGATCCCTGGGCCTTGAGGACATAAATGCTATGGACCAAATGTGGGGCTCCTAGGTGAGTGAAGCCAGAACACGGTGGGGGGCGGGGGCCGAGGCCACACAGCCCCACTGGTGACTAACGTGGCCAATGGAAGGGAAAGGTGACAGGGTGGAGACGTGAGACAGCATTCTCCTGCTGGCAGCCCGGCACCCTGGAACCAACTCTGGCTCCTAGCCTACTCAGCCCAGACCTCAAAGAGGGATGAGGCCTTCCTGGAGATGGTGACCCACATGAAGGAGGCTTCAGGAAAGAGAAGGACATTTGGAGGAGGTGAGGGAACAACTATCATCAGGGAATATGTGGGTAGAAAAAGGCAAAACCTGACTGGATCCTGAATAATCCAGACACTAGAGTGCAGCGGCACCTGGGTGGCTCAGCTGGTTAAGTGGCTGACTCTTGATTTTCACCCAGATCTTGAACTCACGGGCGTGAGATTGAGCCCCATCATGATCTCAGGGTGATGAGATCGAGTCCCACATGGGGCTCCACACTGGGCATGGAGCCTGCTTGAGATTCTCCCTCTTCCTCTCCCTTTGCTCCTCCCCCACTCTCTCTCTCTCTTTCTCTCTCTAAAAAAAAGGAAAGAAAGAAACTAGAGTGCAAAACTGTAGCACAGGCTACAATTTTGAAGGCTTAATCCAGTTAAATAAATGCTGGATCTTTCCAATGTTTGCACGATTTCTTGAGGATAACATCTCAGGATCAGAATTATTTACTTTATGCATTGGAATATCTTATGACCCCAGGAACACATCACAGAATTTACTAAACCGGATCTTTCTATTTACACTATGATGAAAGAGTATATACATTTCACCATATATTTGCCAGCAGATGGACACTTTTATTTTAAATATTTGCTCTTTGAATGGGAGTAGAATAAACATCACACTGGAAAAGC